AGCATGGTATAGCTGTGAAAATGAAGTAGATGTGGGGAGGCTTGAGAAAGAATCAAGGATAACTTTAGAAAATTGCTTAAGGCTAAGGAAAACATTAACCCCCAGACTGATTTATTCATCCCACATGTGTTTATTGAACACAAGAATTTTGATTGGTCTTGTGAGGTTTATGAACCATTTACAAAACTGGCTTATTAGTATACCAAATTAAAATCTTCCACTATCACCTGAATTTCAAATATATACATGGCATGGGAATTATGGTTTAGCAGTACATGTAAAGAAATAAACTCAGACACAGCAGGATCTATTGAAAAAATTAGTTCTGAATTTAATCACTTCTATTAAAGGTTATTTAGCAATGAAGTGATATACTAATCACATTAATATTTATACTTAATGATGCAGTGAATGATAGCTAGGAACTGGTGAATGGATTTTAAGCCCACTTATAATCTCAATTAGAAATAAACATTTGCAAGATGAAAAACTAGTGTCAGGATGTGTGTTTATTAGTATCTTAGTCTATTTCAATGAATTTTACAAATTCATTGTCCAAACCTTAACACTGTCAATGGCCATTTCCTTGGGCTTGCAATGCCAACAAAAAGGAGAACCTCAGTTTTTTTCATCTACAAAATGGGTCTCATGGGGTCTTCTCCAGGAGACGAGTGTCAGAATTAAATGAGATACTGAGAAAAAAAGAGATTTTTTTAATTTAAATTAAAACTAATAAACCCAAACCATGAACTGTAGTTGGATCCTAGTTCAGAGGGGGTAAATGAAAAATTATAAATTTTTATAACAAATTATAAATTTGTTGGTCCATCCTGGAAATTTTAGTATGAACTGAATTTTAGAAGATATTAAGGAATAATTCTTATTAATTTTCTCAGCTGTGATAAAGATACTGTGCTTACAAAAATAATATTCTTATTGTCAGTATATACTTGTAGAAGTATTTACAGGGAAAGTATCATGACGTATTCAACTTAGTTTCAAATGAATGAAGGGAGGAGGAAAGTACATACAGAGAAACAGGGCAGGCGAGGTCCAGCAAATTTAGCAAAATGTTAAGTGCTGAATCTGGGTGCAGAATACATGAGGTTCATTTTACCATTTATTTAACTTTTGGATATTTGGGGGTTTTTTTAGTCTTTTTTTTTAATTAACATACAGTATAATATTAGTTTCAAGCGTATGATATAGTAATTCAACATTTCCATACAATACCCGGGGCTCATCACAGCAAGTACACTCCTTAAGCCCCATCACCTATTTAACTCAGATCCTGACCCACCTCCCCTCAGGTAACCACCCAGTTTGTTCTCTATAATTAAGAATCAATGTTTTGGGGCGCCTGAGTGGCTCAGTTGGTTGGGCGTCCGACTTCAGCTCAGGTCATGATCTCACACTCCATGAATTCGAGCCCCGTGTCGGGCTCTATGCTGACAGCTCAGAGCCTGGAGCCTGCTTCAGATTCTGTGTGTCCCTCTCTCTCTGCCCTTACCCCTGCTCATGCTCTCTCTCTGTCTCAAAAATCAATAAAAACATTAAACAAACTTTTTTTAATAAAAAAAAGAATGTATTTCTTGGTTGGTCTCTCTTGGTTTTTGTTGTTTCTTAAATTCCATACATGAGTGGAATAGTATGGTATTTGTCTTTGACTGACTTCTTTCACTTAGCATAGTAGTCTCTAGTTCCATCCATGTCATTACAAATGGCAAAGTTTCATTCTTTTCATTCTTTTTATTCCATTTTATACATATATATTCATCGACTGATGAATGGGTAAAGAATGTATATGTGTATATATAGATATACACACACATATAACATCTTCTTTATCCATTCATTAGTCAATGGACACTTGGGCTGTTTCCATTAATTTGGCTATTGTAGACAATGCTGCTATAAACATCGGGGTGCATGTATCCCTTTGAATTAGTATTTTTGTATTCTTTGGGTAAACACCACTGTTGAGTATTTGAAAATTTTTCTAAATAGGAAGTTCAGTGGAAAACAATTAAATGAGAGAGTGTCATTAAAATGTCTGGCTCCTATTAGCTGCTAGTTTAGGATTATTACTATGCCATTACACTAGCTGCTCTACAGACTGAACAGTGCCCTGCACGCAGCAGGTAAGTAGTGAGAACTTCCTGAAAAGAAATTTAAAAAATTAACATAAAGAGTTGAAATCCTCTCAAAAGGATGTCTCCGAGTCCATGAGGGTCACAAGCTGAGAGGAGATAAAGTTCTGCTTTCTTGGGGACACCGGGCACCTAAAGCTTAGAGGTTAAGAACACTGACCTTTGAGTCTAACCCCTTGGATTTAAATCTGTGGTGGGAGCAGTAAGGTCACCTTGGATGAATTATTTAATCCCACGCCTCAATTTTCCCAGCTGTAAATGTAACATAAAAATAGTTTGTTCGTATTTCATAATATCCTTGTGAAGATTAACTAGGACAATGCACTTTAAGTGGTGCCCTGCACATAGTAAGTACCCAAATACTAGTTATTATTATAATTATGTAGGTAAAACCTCCTATCCCATTGTACCATGATCTGAGAGGTGCTACCAGTATTTATGCAGGATTGCTCCTTCACCTACTAAACTGAATCTATGGTGTTATTCTTAGAAACTTCCCTTCAATTTTCTTCAGTTTGTAAATTTCACTAAAAGCCCACAATTTACCTATTCTTGCTTTGGTTTTCTTTACAGAGAATTCTGATAAAAGCAATGAAGTTTTCACATGACAAGTCTCTATTTGATTCTCAAACATCAATGGGTTTCTTGTAGTAGTACAAATCTAATGTTTTATAGTACAAATGCTACAAATTCAATGTGTGTAAAATGAATGTCTCAGGAATGTTTTCCAAATCTATGATATCCGTATTACATGTGTCCTCAAATAAAACCTAGTATCATTGGTGTCAGTGTTTCAGATTCTCAGAGAAACAGTACTAAAAGTTGTAGACCTCTGTAGGCGTCATTCTATACCCAACTCTTTAGCTTGGGCATTCTCTGAAAGTATCTACTCTCGTGTTGTTACCTTTAAGAGATAACCAATCCTGCTTCAAATTCTATGTCTCCCTCTCTCTCTGCTTCTCCCCCGCTCATGCTCTGTCTCTCTCTCCTTCAAAAATAGATAAAGAGATTTAAAAAAATTAGAAAAAAGGGGCGCCTGGGTGGCTCAGTTGGTTAAGCATCTGACTTCGGCTCAGGTCATGATCTCACAGTTCATGAGTTCAAGCCCCACATCAGGCTCTGTGCTGACAGCTTAGAGCATGGAGCCTGCTTCAAATTCTATGTCTCCCTCTCTCTCTGCTTCTCCCCCGCTTATGTTCTCTCTCTCCTTCTAAAACAAATAAAAACATTAAAAAAAAATTTAAAAAGCGGCGCCTGGGTGGCTCAGTCGGTTAAAGCGTCTGACTTCGGCTCAGGTCATGCCACTAATGTGTTAAAATCCCAAAGGTGACAGATCCTCTTTGCACACTCCAGAGACAGTCCAATAGTAACCACATGCCTTATTTATAGAGTGCCTTACCATTTCCAAGGCATGTTTACACACAGTACCTCATTTGATCCTCACAGCAATGGTCAAGATGTTCTGGGTAGTTCTTAGCCCCAGTTTACAGGTAAGGAAAATGGCAGTCCCAGTGGTGAAGTGATGTCTACTCCAAGTCACAGAGAAATTATAGGTGCTTATGTCTTACAGACACACATCCACTCCCGCCTTTTGCTCACATCCCTTCTCTGGGCTCCCATTTCCTCACTTGTGTAGGGCTCCCCGGGCTCCCAGCTCTTTCCTGAGAGACTTAATACCATACCTCCTCCGGCTGACCATCCCACTCTGGACTCTGAGCCATCTACCAGGCACACCTTACAAATACTCATTCACTCAGCACCCAAAATATAACAACATCAAAACAAGAGGAAAGCAATAGTCCTGGTTATCTTGAAACTAATCAAATAAAAGCAAGATACAAAGACCTTAGAGAGGCCACAAACAACCAAATTTGTCAAGTAAACTTAATGAGTTCCTTTTAGAACAAAAGGAATTCTACTTTTGGTCCTTTGTGACTGTGGAAAAGTATCTTATCCTCTCTTAGCTTCAGCTTCCTCACTACAGAATGTTCCTATTACCCCCAGCCTTCAAAGTTATGTTGACCAAAAAAGAAGAAAATATACGGGAATGTATCTAACAGTACCTAGCCCTTAGTTAAGACTTTGATAATTACTTATTGAGTTGGACTAAACCTTACAGATGAAGAAATACATAAGCTTGAAATGTGACATATACCAAAGAGTAAAAGGTATAAAACTCAATATTATAAATTAGATGTCTTGATGTTAATTAAATATATACTGTTTACATGCTCCAGTTTATTATCTAAAGAGATCATTCTACTTGAATTACCTTAAATTACACTAAATAAGCTTCACAAAATGTCTAAAATACCAGTAGTTTGGATAGTTGGCTGGAATATGTGTGTTAGTTTAGCAAAAAAACTGAACCTCTAAATTTTATGAAGAAATAGCTATATAGGTATGATATATATATATCATGAGGTATGATATATATATATCATGAGGCTTTATATATATATATATATATGTATATATATATATATATATATATATACATATATATATATATATCATGAGGCTTTACCAGAAGAAGAAAAAGGAAGCAGGTGATTTTCTCAAGAACAAAATTTGAGAAGGCAGATAGGGCAGGTTTAGCGGGGGAGAGTGGGCAGTGAACAACCTGACCAAGAGTATAAAGATTCTAGACAAGATGGTATAATACAGACCATCATAACTTTGAGCCATGGTCACTCAACACACTTAGAGGTCCTGGGGCTGATACTCCATAGCATTCACCAAAGTCAACTTCGATATTGAGTTCTGGGATTTCATTTCTCTCCACGAAAATGAAAGCAGCTCCTAAATCTTTACCTTATTTAGGAAATAAATGGTGAATGCCAAACTCACCAGTTGGTTCTGGTAGGCAGTGACTGCTGTGAAAACGGTCTCTGGAAAGATGAATGTTCTGAATTCTTCAGACTTCAGATTGAGCAACGAGGCTGTGTGGTCTTTCTTCTTAATGATGTGCACCCGCGGCTGGTACTTGTGCATGGAGTTCAAAATTATCTACAACAAAGAGATGGGAAGTACTGAATATTAAGTATTTATATTGCAAAACAGGCCAAATTGCAATGAGGCAAAGAAAGAACCATAAAATCTACAGTTTTGAATATAAGTTTTAAGAGTAGAAGCCACTCTTTCCACTTTTTTTTTTTTTTAATGTTGATTTATTTTTGAGAGACAGAGACAGAGCATGAACGGGGGAGGGGCAGAGAGAGAGGGAGACATAGAATTGGAAGCAGGCTCCAGGCTCTGAGCTGTCAGCACAGAACGTGACACGGGGCTTGGACCCACAAACCCTGAGATCATGACCTGAGTCAAAGTCAGATGCTTAATTAACTGAGGCACCCAGACAACCCCACCGTTTCCATTCTTAAGGCAAATCATTTTCACAGGATGCTGCAGAAACATAGTTGTGAAATCACATTTTACCAAAACAAGTGTAAATAATACAAGTTCCTTCAAGGGTCCTTTCTAAACTGATGCGGGGAAAATCATCTGAAGGATAAGTTTATTTGTTTTTTTTTTTTTTTAATCAAGTCTTTAAAATATATTTTGTTGGTCTGGTTAGACTGAGGATGTATGTCTAAATTTTCTAAAGTAAGAACTTATATATTCCAGGAAGACAGATTGTTATTTATGTAGTAGAGAGGAATAAAAAGAATTAAGAAAGGCTAGGTGACATTAGATCTTAGAGTGCAGAAACTGTTACTTTCTAGCTCCTTCATCTTGGGCCAAATGATCTCGCCTCTCCAACTTTGTTTTCTCAAATACAAAAACTTATTAATCTCACAAGATTGTGGTGAGGATAAGATGATGTTAACTCTCATAAGTTGCACAGCAAATAGGAAGTGCTCAGTAAACCTTAGTAGTCGTAGTAGTATTTCTGACAACTTTGTTGATTCCTGACTCACTGTTATGAACCAAACATGAATGACAGTGATGACCATCTTCTGTTTTATAGCTAGTAAAAGTTGCCCAATACTTAGAAATCATAAGTCTACCTTGATTAACAAGGCAGTATTTCTCACGAATGTTTTAAACAAAATATAATGATTTGCCATTATGAAATCCGAGCAACAAAATTCACTTTCATATATAAAGGATTTTCTACATCTTCCCCACTGCCGCTCAGACAGCTACCTAAATCTGCAAAATTGGGCATGTCCTTCCTAGGATAACAGTGCTCACACTGTATGCCCTTCACCCCAAGGGCCTAGCAGAGAGCCTGACTTTCCTGGGCGGCATGTGATAAATAGTGTGGCAGGAGTGTGGTCAATGGCAGTGTTGATGCATCTTCTAGACTAACATGGGTGTGGTAGATGAGTATTTTTGCTGGTTTACTTTAGCAGAGTTAAATACTAGTCACTGTGGGATAACTAATATAGAATCAATCTCTGTGCTGAGATATAAGCCAACTTAAAGTTAGAGGGCATTGGGGCGCCTGGGTGGCTCAGTCGGTTAAGCGTCCGACTTCGGCTCAGGTCATGATCTCGTGGTTTGTGACTTCAAGCCCCGCGTCGGGCTCTGTGCTGACAGCTCGGAGCCTGGAGCCTGTTTCGGATTCTGTGTCTCCCTCTCTCTCTCTGACCCTCCCCCATTCATGCTCTGTCTCTCTCTGTCTCAAAAATAAATAAACGTTTAAAAAAAAAATTAAAAAAAAAATTACAGGGCATTAACTGGCATTGAATTTTGAACATGCCATCCTTGTATGATCCCAAACCTGAAGAGGAATAACTAAAACAAAGGAGAGCTCCAAATGAATTGAAATAGACTTTAAAAAAGTCATCTCTTTATATAATACATTTATTCCAAGGAGTTTAAGATATTTACGCTCACTCATAAAACTGGAATAAACTCAAAACAAAACAAAACAAAACAAAAAACTGGAATAAATTCAAAGTGACAAAAGTATACTCTTAAAACTGATATAAGAAAAACGCTGGGCATTCATTATGTGTTGTAATAAGAAGTTACAAATAATTTTCACACATTCTCTCTCTCTTTCTCTCTCTCTATCTCTCTCTCTCTCACACACACACACACACACACTCATACACAAAGGACAAAGCCCTAAGCTTTAAATAATGTCCCTTCTCCCATACTTACACCATCCCTAGGTCAATTTCCTTCGGGAAAAGGTGCTGGAGAGGGTCCAACCTCAGACTGAATCTCAGAGCCAGGGCTCCTTGACTATCCGCTCAAGATCTCATTGGGTTAAGGAACACTAAAAGAAATGTGAACTTTGCTTCACTGAAGAACTAAATTCCCTGAAGTAAAAAATTTTCCTGTTATAAAACTAAAAATGCATCTGTAAGAAGGGCTTCTTCCGGACTAATTCAAAGAACTTGGCTAAACTACACAGGATCTAAAAATCTTGCCTTGTAGTTTTCAGAACACACTATTTATGGTGATAAGGGGTTACATTAAATAATAAAACTTTAAAGCTAAAATGGATATTAACAATCATCTAAGACTAAACAATTTGTCAAGGTCTAATCTTGGCATAATCAGACTAGAACCCAGAGCTCCGGAAATCCAGCTTGGTGTTATTCCCACCCATGAAGTTGGTATTAAAAGGAGAACATATTAATTCTGGACAGGTGATTTCAAAATGAATTCTCAAGTCGTTCTGGAAAGACTCAAACAGTGCTTCTCAAAGCTTCACATATGGAAAATATCAGAACCATTAAAAATTTCATTTCTCCCTGCAAAGATTTCAGTGGAGTCCAAGAAACTTTAATATGAATGACATTAAGAATGATCTGGCCTACAGAAAATGTCTCTCAGATACTCATCATTTTTTAACCTGAAAAAAAATCCATCAATGAAAACATCTTTTTTAAAAAAACAGAAAAGGACAGTTATCCCAACAGTCTTAAAGACAAAAGTCAATTATCTTTTCCAATACATAAAATAACAGAAACCTATTAACCTACTTGCAACATCCCAACAGCAGAGTCATGAGTACCCGGTTACTCTGATTTGGTCATGATAAACAAAGTCTCTTGTGGGCGAATGGATGGTGGCAACGTCTGAAGTGATTTGTTTGCTTCCAATTTCATTGGAAATTGATTTTCCAATTTGAAACCATGTCTAAAACTCTCTAATATATATCTACTTATAACCATCCTTTCTGAGAAAAGTTCTGAAACTTCTAAAGTGCATAGATCCAATAAAAACTAAAACCTGAAGTAACAAGAGCCTTAATAAAGGGGTAAGAGAGAGAACAATGATAGAATATCTAAGCCCAGGGAAGCAACCAATGAAATACCAATGTGCTTTCTGGCAATTGAGGCAAAACCAAAAAACCCAGTATTCTTACCAAAAAGAAGTATGCAAGTCTAAAGTTTTCTTAGCATAAAATCTAAAACAATTTTTATGTCAATCTTTATTTAAGAGCATGGACTAACATCACAATTCCTTACAAAGTAGTCTTAGCAAATGTGTAAAGCGCTGCGTCAATGGCTATTTGTGCTATTAATTACTGATATGAGCCCAGAATTCCAATTTCTCTTTTTCCATATTTTGATGAACTCCTTATAAGATCAAATGTTTTGTTTTTCATTTCAAGACTTCTCTGTGCCTTAATATTCCTAAGACTCTCTACAGCAGGGGTGTATGATGAGTAAAGAACACTTCCTCAAATTTATTTGGGCATAAAACCCTTTTGTCCTATTGTATCTCCCATGAACATGGTCTATAAACACACTTTGGGAAACCCCCAAGGGAGATGTCCGTCCTATTCCCCCTATGCTGTGTCATCTAACATACCACTGACAGAAACTAGACGTTTAACCCAAGAATGGGCTACAGTAGCATCCAGAATGCACATTCCCTTTGTTTGGTTGGTGCAGTCTTAGGACATTCATAATGCCATAGGTCCCTGACTCTCTTGCATAGAAATGGCACACGGCATCCCTGTAAGTGATGTCTTAAGAAGAGGAAACAAAATTCCCTGAAGAACAAATGGATGTTTTCAATGAATGACTCACATATGGAGGATGGGATGGGGAGAGGGAGGGGAGGAAGAGATTTAGAGGGAGGAAGTTTTGAGGGACTCCTCCATTCCATCCCAGGGAATCCACATAATCCAAGGCACTGTACTTACATGGCCATGCTGATCTAGTTCATTGTTGGTGAGTTTCACCTTTTCAAAAGACACCATCTGCTTGAGTAGCTGCTCACCAGTAAAAGGAGAATCTGGGTGTACATACAGCCTAAGAAAATTATGAGAGATTTTGTTAATCTTTAATATATTTTGAAAATCTGTTCTCTGTGGGTCATAAAATACTCTGATTCTAAAGGAATGCAAAAACTTCATGTTGGTGAATTTTATTTGCCCCACATAATCTAAAATAATACAACAACATCAAAATAAATCTAAAACATCTAAACGTGTTTCTTTATGTACCAGTGATCTAAAAGGGGTTTTACCTAATATATTTTCTATTGTCTGTTCAGCAAGCCATTTTTAAAAGGCAAATATTTTTCTATCTATCTAATCAACTACTGGTCTGTTTCTGTAAAATATAAAATCTTATTACTGTTGTGGGTATTTGCAAAAGAGAGACAAGCTTATACTAATTGTGTAACAAGTTCCTAGTGTAAATACTGCTAAAAGTAAAAAGAACAATGAAGGGGTAAAGAACACAAAAGACAAAACAATTCTAGAGAACCCATTCATTTAAACTTGAAGATGATGCAAAAGTTTATAAATATAAGACAAAGTAATTTTACTACAGCAGACTGCCTAACTTTTAATAGTTCACAGATCACAGTCTGTTATTTCTTCTAGTACCTTAAATACTATGACTTTTATCTAGTTAAGTGCCCACTAGATAAGAGTGAAAAAAAGCTGGGTAAACCTCATATTATTCAATGTGTTTATTCATATACAACTTAAAGGGGGGGGAAGCTTTGATGGGAAAAAATGTATTTACCACGTATTTATCATTTATCAGCTTCTACGTGCAAGAAAACTCACAGTTAGATGTAGGCCATTTGTTCTATCTGCAAAGTATTACACAAAGTATAACTCTTTGTAAATTCAAATTCTGGTATCCACTGGATATAAGCTTGTCTGAAGTCAGGGGAGATACAGAACTCAAGAAAGAAAAGGAAGTAGGGGCGCCTGGGTGGCGCAGTCGGTTAAGCGTCCTGATTTCAGCTATGCTAAATACCACATCTCATGGAGTCGGCTCAGTCGGGAAGCTCTGGGCTGATGGCTCAGAGCCTGGAGCCTGCTCTCTGAACCCGGTCCCCTCCCTCTCTCCCCTCCCCGTTCATGCTCTGTCTCTCTCTGTCCCAAAAATAAATAAACGTTGAAAAAAAAAATTAAAAAAAAAAAAAAGAAAGAAAAGGAAGTATCCCTGATTTAATAGGACAAATCCCTTTATCCATTTAACAGGCTATTTATATCTCAATTTTATATAGGATCTTTATATCTTTAATCAAACATAAATATTATGGTTGGGGCAACATCAGTGGGGAAAAAAATCACAAAACATTTCCTTGCAGTTTCTTAGAAAGAAAGAAAGAAAGAAAGAAAGAAAGAAAGAAAGAAAGAAAGAAAAGAAAGGAAAAGAAAAGAAAAGAAAAGAAAAGAAAAGAAAAGAAAAGAAAAGAAAAGAAAAGAAAACGAAACCAGAAGTCTATGCCATGCTTTGTCACAAACAGGACTAAGAACAGAAGAATTAGGTAGCCGTACTGAAATGTGAAAGCCCGCCAGAAGCAAAGCACAAAAAAGACTAACAGCACTAGAAATTCTTACTAGACCCATATAAGAACTTTAAAGGCTTTCAGTGTATGTTTGTCTGTCTGTTGGTTTTGGAGGAGTGTTTAAAAATGCCTTTCAATCGAAGTATATTCCTTAATGATACAACCATCATAACGTTTCAAGTATACCCCTCCAAGGCTATCACTATATGAAGTTGTTTTACTGGCCAGCACCACATCCTACCTACCCCACCAAAAAAGGTTCAAAAATATTTAAAGTCCTAGAAGTTCATGAAATGTTCCTTCTTTATCAATTCAACATGGGTCTTCACAATAATAAAGACTAACTTATTTAAATATCAATTGCTTTAAAGACAACAAAAGGTCCTATATGAAAGTATGACATTATTTTTTAAAAAAAGAAAAGATAACGTTACTTTAGATAATGTATATATCTTGCCATTGTGGAGATCAAATGATACTGTCCAGTATTGTTTCTTCTGGTTAGGAACAACTGACTGGTAAACTTTGGTCTGAAACAATATGTTTCAAGGAATAAGAACCACAAGGAACTTCTACCATTAATACAAAAATTATCACCTCCCATGTTCCTCACCTTTCCCTTACGGAGTTATTCAACACAGCACTATTTGTTTTAATAATAATAAAGAATATTTGCTTAAAATTGGTAGAATATTTCTATCCTATAACACACCAAACACTTTTATTTAATATCAGTATAAATATACTGAAGATGAATGAAAAAAAAGCATACAGGAAGCCCCTCCTCTCTCAAGTCCCCCAGGACTTAAAATTCCAGCAATAGCTTAAACATGCTTCAGTTAAGATAGTGTATTGGTACGTGCTTTCCTTCTCCAACCAGAACAGATTAGTAACATAAACAAGGCATGTCATATTTCCAAAGTCCTGCTGGCCTGCACCAGCTCCTCATACCTTCAGATAGGAAGAAAACAGATGCTAAATAAGAGGGATTAACTTCTTAGAGGAAAGACTTTGGGGAGAGAAAAAAAGAAGATTTGATTGTAAAAATGGTTAGAATACTGCTAAAACTCTCTCTCTCTCTGTCTCTCATTTAAAAAGATTTTGTAAAGTGTGGAAGTAAGCTTGAGAGTAGTAAGAATCAGCTCTTTAATGATAAATAGTAAAGAAAATTAATATAATCACTTTAGTACCAACTATAAGACAGTGAATCTTGCTCTATTTAAAAAAAAATGGGTGTAACATTTTTGTAAAATGTCTTAGGCCTGCTATTTAGTATGTTATTTAATATACTGATTTGGAAGGGTTGGGAAGATGTCCTTCCTAGTCTTCTGTGGGAATGGAAAAGTCTGAGAGGCTTCTTTTAATCTTTTCTCCAGTGTATTTAGCGTACCGTAAGCTCAATAATGTGATCAGTGACTAAGTAAGCTTAATATTCCATCTGAACCAGTATGTGTAAATTGTGTTGATTCTGTGCCTTGATTAAAACTCCAGACTAGATACTTACAAAGAATCAACCAAACTTCAGAGTTCCTAAGTCTATACATGTAAATAAATTATTCATTCTGATAGGAACTTCCAACAAACTACAAAAATTAGGTAATCATAAAACAACTTAAAATCAGCGAGGCTTGGCTTTAGAACCCTAACTGTAAAGTCCGCTAATGTCCTTTGCTTGTATTAAAGTATTCAGTTAGATTCCTATAACTTCAGCTATTACTATTTGCATAAGCTAATATATGCTTTTTCCCCCCCTTAGAAGGCTAATTTGGGCAAAGCAGCAACAATAAAAAGCAGCATGTGATTTTTTAAACAGAGTTCTCCTTCAAAAACATTACCAATGAACAGCACAAAAATAAACATATATGATCCCTAACGTATTGAGTAACATTTTGCATAAAATAATATTAACCTGTTGTTGAATTACATCCACCCACTGAACTTATTATGGAGAAGGGGTAAAAAAGAGTTTGCTTTTCTTACTTAAAATTTCTGAGTCCCTTACTGGTCAAAAACGAATGCATTTCACCAAAATGATGTTTATTGTGTGCAGATGTTACCATATTACTAAGAAGTACTTACTACAAACAACCACTTTACTAAAATGCACTCTTCTCAAAAGGATGTTAGGGCAACCACTTCAGCAGTAGGTTTTTTCAGTCTGGTGTTAAGTAGCCAACTAGAAATGATGGGTGCCATATGAAATAGGTCTGGATCTCTAATGAATATTCTAACTGAAATTAGGAAAGCTTGAAAATGAATTACAAAAAAAGAAACAATTAAAGACGACTTTCCGTCTGTGCACAAACTCTGCCTTTCTCAGATATTTTGTAGTCAGTCCTCTGGGCTGGGAATGCTCTCTACCAGAGCTCACCACTGTAAAAACAACAGAACTGCTTAAAATTCAACCAGCCAGACACATTCTGCTCTCAGGGTTCATACGCACTGCATTTGCTCTGCCCGAAAATCTGGAGGCACAAACCTGGCTGGCAGTGGTGGGTCTGCCTTGCCAGCCACCAGCCAGGAAGACCGGTGGTAGGCGTAGCGGTACCTCTTGTTGTCCACGGGGACGATGTCCATCAGGACTATGTACTTGGCCTCAGGATCCACGCCAGAAAAGGATACTCGAATGGTGGGAAACATCCTCCTGACACAAGGAGACAAAGAGAATTCGCTGGAGCTCCTTCCTGGAGGCTAATGAGTCACTGAATAAAAGGGCGAGGTCCTACTCCCTCCCCACTGACCCCCACACCCTTTTTGTTTCCACAGACACTTGAGTACTGAGACCCTCCTTCTCCCACACCTACATAATTTTAGGTGTCGCCATCATAGGAGTCCCCTTTGCTACATGAAAAGTTTTGTTTTGCTTTTTAATACTGGAAGGTCTTCGAGTAGGGAAAATCGTATGCTGTATTATCAAACGTGTCAGACTCCCCCAGACCAAAGTCTCTGGAGCAGACCCAGTCTCCCAACCCTCTAGGGTTGTAGGGAGAAAACTCGGTTCAGCCACAGAAATCTAGGGCAGGTTGGGTTCGGGAGACCCTGCGGGTATTTCCCAGAGTCTACAGAGCTGGAGTGACCAGGGCTGCAGGCCACTGACCTTTAGAGTCTTTGTCCCAGGCCTGGGGAGCCACCTGCACCCCCATTCACTACCCCGTGCCTGCCCCACTAAGGCACCAAGGGGGCCTGACGCACCAGCACTCCATCCTACACAGTGTGAGTTTCAAATTTCATTCCTCTGTGCAGGTTTTAATTTTAGTTTTTAATGGGAACTGGCAGCTTTTGCAAATTGAGGCCAATAAAAGGGAAGCTACTTGCCTCCCTCGAAGCACCCAGCAGCCTGCCCTACACCCCCAGCAAGATTCCTGCTTCCCTCCAGATGCCAACTCCCCACCCCAAAGCCCTCCCAGATGGCAGATCACTGGTCCCCACATCCCTCTCATCAAGGCCACGGCCACCATGGGGTTTTCCATGGCCAGATCCTGAGAAAGCAAATAAATGCTCAGAAGTCTGTCTCGAAGCTCTTTCCAAAAGCAAGTTGATAGAAAGAAGTCCTCCTTAAGGGAAGCTTCCTCTCGGTGCTCTGGACCAGTGGGGTTTCACCCAGCTCCAGCGAATACCTGAGGCCACCCGGGGCGCCACTGTCATCCCTGTACCCCTTACACACCAAGCGCCCCACCGCCACCACGGATCGCTACCTGCCCGACTTGGTGATGATCATCTCTGTTCCCAGCTCGTGGAATTTGTCCCAGAGCTCCTTCGTCTCCAGGCTGCAGGCAATTTTGGCCATTTCCTCACTGGGGATGATGGGGGTGGTGGGGATCAGTGGCTCAGTACACAGAGAGGAGGAGGAGGGGCTGCCACTGCTGCCGCCACCGGCAAACTCCCCGTGAGCATCCAGGCTGGTCAGTTCACCCAGGGGCTGGGCACAGGAGGACTTCTCAACAAATTGTTCTGCAGGCAAAGAGAATGGAGAATGACAGCTAACGCTGTCAAGCAAAGACACAGGAAGGAGAACAGCGCAACCCAAATTGGTACTGGACTCGACTCTGGGAAAGTGAAGTTCAGAAACTCCAAGAAGGCCGTGATAACCCATCACTATATAAATTCTCATGGAATGACATACCCAGCGCTTGCTTACCGAACCAAATGAGTTCTAGAACTGTGGCTTGTTACGAACATTATGAAAGCCACTTTGGGGACTACAAATGTAAGGAGTGCATAAAGGGAAAGGAGGTGATCATGAAAGATGAAAAGCAAGTATTCCTAGTGTTATCCCTGTCAAGTTCTAGACGTTGTAGCTTGTGGGATCTCCTGCCAGTCCTGCCTCTTTGACAGCCAGGAGAGACTTTTCTCCAGCGAGACCAAAGGGAACGAAGAGGTCAGCATCTTCCTTACTTTGAGAGAAGCTTTCCCTTCCGTCCTGAGCTCTCTCTCCACAAGAAAAAAGGAAAGGTGGAAGGGAAGGGAAGAAAAGTGGGGATGCGGTTAAAACGAAAAACTCAAGTCGCTTCACTTCTCTGCCTGGCTCTCAGTGTGCTAGGCTTTAATATCAGGGCAATTTTACAATATCCCTCCCAGCCTGAGATCTTACAAAAGACTCTAACATATAGCTTATTAAATCACAAAAGTGGGCTCGCTAGGCCATTTTGGGAACAGGTGTGAAAAACTGTCTTGAGGGCAGTGTGTGTATTTTTCTCCCTTTCTCTCAAAAAGGTCCTGGAAGTGAGGGAAACAACCCTCAACCCAGGCTAGCAGAGTATTTAAAGTAGGAAGAACACCATCCACCATCAGGCTGGAATACCGCTGCCTATGACCCAAACATTCTACTCCACAGCTGATAAGGGCCTAGGACTACACCAGTCACTTTGATGGAATACAGGGGGACTTTTGTAATTGTCCCAATTATCTTGTATCCCTTAAAAAAGAAACTACTTGAATCTGTAATGTGAAACTGATCTCTAAACAACACTGTTCTAAGTGCCAAGGAATTGAAACAAGTTCTAAATGTAGATATAGTCATGTATATGTTATGTATCACATAAAGCATTTTATTTCCCATATTTCTCCTTGGCTTAGGGCAGGCAAGCAGGAAGCAGGGAATTTTTACCTTTTCTTCTCTTACAATAATAATCCAACTCACTGTAACATTTTAAATTAAGAATAATCAAATTAAGTATCTTGGCCTTAAATTTTCAAGTTCAAAGAATGAAAAGTACGCCAGGGCAAAATCTTATTTTCAACAAATATTTTCAGAAACACATTCACCTGATGTCTTTATAGAGAATTAACATGTAGCTTCAGAAATTTTCTTATTTTTCTGACAATTGGAAAAGGTAGACTCCCTAAGCCCCAGACTAAGGACAGCCAGGGTGGGAAAGTGGAGGAAGAAGAAAATGATACCGAATTTCTGCAACACAATGTTATGTGTCAAGGGTACCGCAATAAAAAAGATCTGAAAAAATGCTCTAGTGGTTTAAGGAAGGCAGCTCTTCTAAATAGATTTTACGTGTTTAAATGCTCAATCCTGATACACTTTTGAGTCCCTACCCCACAATTGCTTCCACACCTCACACCTCTCCATCCAAAGTACCATATTCTCTGTAACAGAACCTCTAGGTGTTTCTCTTGCGGGAGTCCTCAGCTTAAAGTCACTAATTGCACTGTTGAACTACTAGCCCCTGGAAAGGACAAGAATGCCTTCTGGGTCTTTCAGAGCCCGTCTCATAAGCCCAGGGGAAAGAGGTTCATTTTACAGACTGTGTATTTGCGGTGGGGGAGAAGGTGGTGGCTATATAGTTTAGAATTGAGATAGAAAGCGAGTTTTCTCAGGAAAAGAAATAGAAAAGAAAGCAATACTGAAATGACAGTGGAACTGAAAATGGCATGTTTCCCAGTCTGCTGTCTGTAATTCTGACAGGAATATTAACCCGAAGGGCTCTTTCCCTGCTAGCTACCGAACTGTGGTGGGGGAGTTCATAAAGAATTCAGAGGCCTTCGAAATAGGAGTGGATAATGTTGGGCTGTCCCACCAAAATAACTTTGAAATTGGTGGTTAATATGTCTGCAAACAGTTTGGGTTTGTTTCATTGGTTGTTTCCTCTTTTTTTTGGCAGATTTCAGGCGGATGAGAAGAACCAGGGAAAGTGAGTGAAACCTTGGAGGGGAGACTTTTTGACATTATATTTTCTGGAGATCTTCCTGTTTCCTTTTCCTTGGTTCTAAGTTGCTCTGGGGATTTTAGCTTTCTTTTCTTTTTGCCCAGCCCTCTTATTTTTCATCTTTAACCCTTTGTCTTTCATACTAGGATTGCTGTTTCAGATGTGGGATGTTAAAGTGTTGGAAAGGACAGGGAGAAAGAAAGAAAAAACACAGGGGAGAGTCAAAAAATATATTACTCTAAGTTTGCTATTTGATGTTTCTCACCATTTTCGGGCTATCAGATGATCAGGATGTAAAATAATTTTTTCCTGGGGACCCAAGAGGTGATGAGAACACTTCTTTCTCTGTTAATTGTAAAGGGACTTTGAAATACTCAAGTCCAGCAGTCTCTTTCCCACACAGTTCACTTGTGCTGAGGGGAACATAATCCCTATTTTCCCTTTACTCCAAGCCTAGTGTCTTCTATAAATGGTAAAGGTTGTTAAATAAACAGTATAGCTAAAAGTTGAGGAATTTGGAAAATGGTTACTGGCTAATGTTTTTGCCAACCTCCACTGAAAGTGATGGCGGTTACAAAATGATGTCTCACCGATAAGTTCGGAGCTTCGGTGAAGAAAACGGTTCATGGGGAGACAACTGGCTTCTTCTACAGCATATGGCAGTGGTTTTAAGGAGTTAATTCTGTTTATTCAAGTCAAAGGAAAAACAATATCCAACTAGTTTCTTGTTAAGTCGCTAAGAGTCTCCTCGGGATCAAATGCACACGCAGGTGTTACACGCATGGTAAATTCTGTTGAGTCTTAAAAGGGGTTAATTATTTATCTCTGATTGTTTTGGTCCCAACAAAGTTACACACTCTCCTGCACAAGTACGACTTGCCCTGGGGATTCTAGACGAATAGGTAGAGACAGTGGCTAGCGCGCATCCGAGATGGGAAACCGGTTGTCTGTGAAGCCCCCAAAGAAAAGAATCTCCCGACCCCGGCGTGGGGCCCGTGGCCTGAAGATCAGAAGCTGCCTAGAGCAGGGAAAGGCGGCCACCCTCTCAAGCCTCCCGCAGGCAGGGGACGGAGGGACAGACAGATGCGCGGCGGCCCGCTCCTGCCCTAGGCGGACAGTCGGGCAGCCCGACTTACCAAGTGGTTTGATGGTGTTCTCGGCGGCTTCCTTCTCCTTAGAGCCGCCGCTCGACATAAGCGCGGCGATGGAGAAGGCGTTGGCCCGGGAGGAGAGCTGTGGCTTGGGCGACGCCGTGAACTCCATGGCCCCCAGTGTGCGGTCCTGGCCACGCACGGGGCCTGCCGAACTGCCGTCCAGCTTCCCCAAGGGAGACAAAAACCAACACAGAGCGCAAAGTTTCCAATTGCAATCTCAGCGGAGTCGGGAACTCCAGATGAGTCAGCCCCAACCGGACAAGAGCTCCCCACTGGCCTCTGTCCCTCACTGCAAAGCCCTCCAGCCGCAGAGACTTCCCACTAGCCGGAGAGGACAGGAGAGGACCAGCCTCGGGCTCCACCGGGTGCGCGAACCCTGGGGCGCTCCGCAGGACCACAGGCTGCGCCGCCGGAAGCTGGAGATGAGCATCGGGCGCGCAAAACCCGGGGGTCTCGCGGCACCCCTGTGCGTCCTTCCTCCGTCCACGCGCTGGGGACAGCCGGAGCGGCCCAAGCTGCAGGAAGGAGGCTACGGGTGGAACTCCGCAGCGAGGGGGCGGACGCCGGACAGCACCGGCGCCAGCGTGTGGAGCACAGCGCGGCGCGGAGGACACTGCGCCCGGGCGCTCGCAGCCCTGCGCCTTAATTTGCTGGCGGCAGCTATCCCAGCGGCCCGCAGCCAGTCAGCGCCACCCCACGTCACCGCTTCCTGATTCCGCCGCCGGGGGCGGGGCAGCGGGCTGGGCAGGGAGGGCGCGCCCCGGGCGCGGTGCCCGCTCGGCCTCGCGCAGCAGCCAGCCGCGAACCTGGCACCCGTTCGGAAAAAGTGCCACCACCGAGCTGCCGCGGACTCGCCTAGCCTGGTCTCGAAGTCCCAGGGCGGAAGGGACTTGCGCGCGGTTGGGAGGGGGTATTTTTGAAGCGGCTAGGACGCGGGATCCCGAGAGTGGCCCAGTGCGGGAACCTAGACCAGAAGTAGCCTGGGGGAGTTCCTGCTTCTTCCGTTCTTTTTCTTGAGCGTGCTCAAAGTTCCAAAAGAAAGTTGGGAAGCTTTAAGTAGGGCGGAAACCCGCGCCACAAAGCCACCACGTACGGGCCAGGTCCTATTCTCTCTGGGCAGTTCCCAGGGCTAGGTGCCCTCACTCGTTGGGCTCCAAAATCTGTCTGCTTGACAGTGGGACTGGAGATACACAGCCCTGCAAAAGATATGCTGAGAGAGGGATGGGGACATTTAGCAAAGGCTGCTGCTCTCAGAACCACGGCTCCCGCTGCACACCAGTGCGCCACTTACGCGCTGTTCCTGTTCCCGTAAGGGACTCTGGGGAGTGGAACCTCCACCCAAGGGAAGGTGCGGGGCCGGCGCGGGGGCCCGAGCGTGCACCCTGCGGGGACCGGGCGACACGCAGTGGGAGAGTGAGAGATCTACAGTGCTTGAACTTGGTAGACAGGCAATCTGCCTTCGCAAACTGGGCTGCGACCAAGGACTTCCCACGGCCTTATGGGGGTCGTCCTGTTGGCCTTGTTCAGCTTGAATAACTCAAATTCTCCGAATTCGCAGGGTAATCCGCTTCACTAGGAGCCGTGTAAACTCAGGCTGACACACACACTCAAGCTGTACATGTAAATATTTGCGCTCCTTTCCAGCCAGCCGGTCTGGCGATTAGGAGCCTCTTGGTGGGTCTTACAATTTTAAAGAAAAAGAAAACATCTTCCATTTCCCACCAACCTTTTTCTCCCTTCACTGCACCCGCTGCCGTCCTGAAATAAACTTACAGTGGAAAAAAAGTCAAAGGTTGAGAACTTTTATGAAATGATGACATTTGGGGGAGTCGTGATTTAAGCCACTCTTGCCAACGTGTATCAATAGTTTCTAACATGGTGCTGCATGCAGGTGGTAAGAAACGCATTCTGATATCCGTCTTCGCGTACAAAGTGTATTTGTGCAGATATTTGGGGAAATTCGTAAAATCATAGGTTTTATTGCTGGAAGGGGTTTGCACCGTGAGTAGCGTATCTCTACTTGCTTTTGAGAGGGAAACACCAGGTCTGGCATGGAGGGGACCATCTCATTTCCAGCCTGCCCAGCCGGCTAGAGGCAGACCTATGCGCAGGACCCGCACTCCGGGCCACCGGTTTGGTCACACCCTGGCCCTGCAGCTGTGTCCGGGCTGTTCAGGGGAGATCGGTCCTAGAGCTAACGCCAGCTGAGAGCAAAAGGCTCTCGGATGAAACCTCAGTAAGAATAGAGGCTAAGCCACCGGGTGTGCCTAAGGATCAGTTTTCACTTTTAAGGCTTTAGTCTTTGACTGTTTTGAACAACCCAGACCTTTCGTGGTTGCTGTTGAAGGCCACTTCGCCCCCCAGCATATATCCCATCTCAGTGCACCAGTGACATTTCCCTCTTAAACGTAAGGAGCAAAGGGGTTCCTTCTCTGTCTCAGAAGGGAAGATTTCTGACAAGAGGGTTTTTCTTTGTTTTTAACTTTTTATTGGCGCAGGGGGTGATGTCATGGTCAGTCTAGAACTTATTATATGCTTCAAATGGGTGGCAAAGATCTTGTTGGCTACGTTTGGTTTTCAAACACTTATTATGGAATTATACCTCAATTTTTAAAAGTTGCCATTACTTTTCTACACAGAGGAAACCCCGTTTCTTTTCTTAATTATCCTAATGGTTTAGAATGGAATTTTAATAAATTTAATAAATTTCATGACAGGGCCTTTTTTTTTTTTTTTTTTAATTGGTCCAGCGAGGGGAAAGCTGACTTGCCTCCAATCAGCTTCCACTTTTTTTTTTTTTTCTCAATTGCCACGACCACGCCGAAGCCCAGTTCTGGGTCTCTCGTGGGCAGGGAACTCCGACTAGTCCTCGTATTAAACGTAAAACAAAAAGCCAAGAAGGCCAAGTGAGCGCGCGGGAGACAGCGGGCAAACCTGAGGAGCTGAAAAGGCCACTTTAAACAAACCCGGGCGCGAGAGGTGGGCCGTTTGGGGATCCCTAACAAGCGATGCATCTTGATGGTGTTGAAACCGTGGCAGTAAAATGTATACTACAACATAATTATCGGGGGTGGGGGGGATGCTGTCCCTTCTCTTAGATTTATTGCCTTTGCAAATCAATATGGTGCTATAAAAACCGAGAACCGGTGCTTTGGCAGAGAGACGCTATCAAAGGGTGATTTAAAGCCATCCCGAAGCGGAGAGCGCTGAAGTTCTGAGGTCCCTTCAAAACCTCGGTGTTAGAGCGGGTTAACAGGTAAAGCCGCCGAAGGGGGTGGAACAAAGCAATATGTTAATTCGGAACGCTTCTCTCCAGGCCCTGCTCAGGCCGACGACAGGCGCGCGGGAGCTGCTTTGGGATACTGGAACGTGCAATCGGACCTGGAGAAGGCTTTGAATCTTGACTTTAGCCTTTGCTAGCCCTGAGACTTTGTTGGAGGTGTTGTTTAAGCCTCTCGAAGCCTCAGTTTCACCGTCTTCATTAAAACAGGGCCAATAATGTATTCCTACCTGGAAGATGGCCCCGTGGATTAATGAGATAATCTGTGTAAAGCTCCTAAACCACAGCTAACCTTAACAGTAACACCAAAGCACGTAAAACATAAGTACAGAATTTTGTTATGTCTAAATTTTGAACTACAACTTCGCGATCTTAGAGATGTATCTATCTCATAGTCTCGCCGAGTTAACTGTATAGATAGTTGGAATGTGCACAGGGGAGAGGAGTCACATGGTGATAATGGACCATTCCTTACATCCCGTTAAACTTTGGAGCCTGAGAATGAAACGTTTTGATTATACGTCTGAGTTTGGTTCTACGGAGTTTGGAGAACTGGAAGATGTCTCTTCGTGCACGCCACCCTTTCAAATTCTCATTTGTCGTCTCCGGAACTCAAAAGTTAGTGGTCCAAGAAAACAGCCTAGGAAGTAATCAGATTCCCGCTTTTTGGCCAACGGTCCCTCGCGTAACGAATGCTAGCGCAGAACCCTCCGCGGACCGCAGCAGGGACCGGTTCCCGGCTGGTCTTGGTCACCCGCCGCCAACACCAGGAGCGAGAGCTGAGCGAGGGCTGTGGGACCGGGTGCCAGACCGAGAGCGCCGCCGTGCATCCGAGGGTGACAGCGGGAGAGAAGGTGAGAAAGGAGACGTGCTTCTGGGCACCCGGGCAGAGCTACTCGCGGGCTTGGCCCCAAATCCCCGTTCCCATGCTCCTTTCCGCTCTCTCTGCTTTAAAATGCTTCAAAAGCGACAGTAATGGTGCCTTTGGATTCCTAAACTCGGTTTGCCCAACGGAAAAGTCCCAAAGCAGCGTAGGGAGGGCGGCCGCAGCTGCTCGGGAGGCCCCTGAAGCACCTCCCCGGGGAGAGAGCAGCGCGCGTCCCCGCGCCGGGTAGGGAGCGCGCGGCGAGGCCTCGGATTTTGACCGCCGGGCTGCAGGGGTGCGAGCCTGAGCCTTTCCCGGGGCCACCGCACAAACGCACACCCCGGTGGGGTTAAGTTTTCCTGAACCCGAGTGATCCCCCTGAAGCGCCCCCTAGCCCGGGCCGCAAGCCTCCAGGCTTTCGGGCCCACCCGGAGGCCCCTGGGCCTGGCGATCGAGGCGCATTCGCCCAGCTCAGGCTTTACGGGCAAAGCTCCTGGAGGGGTGCGGCCGCAGGTTGTCATCTGACGGTCCCGGGTGGTGTGCGTGCGTGCGCTTTTGGCCCGGGACTGCACACTTGAGACCGGCTGTGAGACTAAGGAAAGAAATATTTTGCGGGCCTAGGGAGGGCCACACCCATTTCCAGGGCCCGTGTCCTCAGGTGGTGAAGGGAAAGGTCCTTTGGGGCCGGGGCCCGCCGTACTGCGACGTTACCCAGCCAGGCCCAGGCTAGCGGAGGCCTGCAGCGGTGGGTGCCCCCCGCTCTTGCGCTCCGCAGGCCTCCCCCACCCCGGTTTCCACTAAGCG